CATAAATCCTAGAAACTTGACAAAGAACCGATACCAGGCTATACCAGGCTATTAGACTAGATTTCACACTCTCTAACAACATACCCCTAAAATAACGGTTGATATCTTATACTATACCCTGTGTACAATTCGAGATACCTTAATAGACGAGAGGTCGCCGTATAAAAACCCAAAAACTGAAAAATTCCTTTCCGAGGAACTTAAAAAACTAAAAAACAACTACTCTGTAAGTTTTTATCCACTTTCTGTCGAATTAGAGAAATCCGTGGCCTAATTAATAGAATGAGAAGGCGATAACAGCAGAACACCCGACACCCGAGTCCTCTGAATCGTGGTCAGCCCGGACGCCACGGCGAGGAGTATGCAATTTTCGCCTGGCAAACCTTACTCTACGGGCGTCTTAGTGATGCGTCATAGGCGAATGGATTCGGCGTTTTCCCGTCCCGAAGGACAATGGCATAACACGACTATGGACGGAAAGGCGTAAGGCCCAACTGCAAAGATGAGCTGGGTGGGATGGTAGAGTATATTCATCACCAAAGTTTGTAATATCCCGGAATTTTTCATGCCGGCGGTCGACAGTGTCCGAGTTGGCAGCACTGGTTGAGGGAGCCAGTACAACAACAATAACAGAAACTATATCAGCGAGGAGGGACGACAGAGAATGCGGGTAGATTGATACAGCACTGTTTCGGGCTTATTCTGCCTTCATTCAGCCAATCATAACCCTGACCACCAGCAGCTGAGACCAGAAACACAAACATGCGCACAGACGCACCTGGCGCAGTCGGTCCACCACTGAGGCCTACCAGATGGGTCATAAGCACTTCATCGAACCGAAGTTCATCAGTGCCTCGCCACCTGTCATTCTCTGTCGCTGCAGATCGGGTATTTATCAATCAGGAATGGGCGCACACCGATCTATTGGCTTCACAAAGCAAACAAGCTCCGTATGTGTGGCAAAGGTCACGAACAGGCAACCAATTACCAGGCCGAAGTCGGCCAAGTCATAATAGCAGCGAGGAGGGACGACAGAGAATGCGGGTAGATTGATACAGCACTGTTTCGGGCTTATTCTGCCTTCATTCAGCCAATCATAACCCTGACCACCAGCAGCNAAGTGCTTATGACCCATCTGGTAGGCCTCAGTGGTGGACCGACTGCGCCAGGTGCGTCTGTGCGCATGTTTGTGTTTCTGGTCTCAGCTGCTGGTGGTCAGGGTTATGATTGGCTGAATGAAGGCAGAATAAGCCCGAAACAGTGCTGTATCAATCTACCCGCATTCTCTGTCGTCCCTCCTCGCTGCTATTATGACTTGGCCGACTTCGGCCTGGTAATTGGTTGCCTGTTCGTGACCTTTGCCACACATACGGAGCTTGTTTGCTTTGTGAAGCCAATAGATCGGTGTGCGCCCATTCCTGATTAGAAACTATATCGACCACCGGTGATGTCATGAGTTATTTGGGCGGCATTGATTTTAAGGTTCATGTGATGTACTAAGTGGATTAGATGAACGAACAATATAAGCAACGCGAACGAACCAACAAATGGACAAAACAAGGCCGAGCAATCATCACACCAGCATCCAACACGGGTGATGAGATGTCAGCAATTAACAACTTGCATGCCGGCCATCAAGCAATTAGCGCACCAGCGGGCAACAATCCTTGATGAAGGGAGCACGGTTAATTGCTGTAGGTATGCGGTAGCATGGCGACCGCATCCTATAAAAACTGCGACTTCCTGTACACAAGCCAGCCTTTTCTGCAACTGTCTCTAATGATGATGGATTCAAGCGAGAATCCGAAACGTCAGGCGAATAAAGCCATTGTTTCAGCGATCACTTCTTTTTCTTCTGATCAAAAATAAGCGATGCCCTCCAAGTAGGGAAACAGCTACTAAATGCATATCAAGCAGTCGACAGTAAATGTCGAGACGCTTGCAGTAGTAGTCTCTGATTAAAGAGATTAAGCAAAATGCAAGTCAGCGCAAGATTAAACTCATTACAAAGGAAAGCTGCGAGTAGTATAGCAGTTTATCCCGTAGCTGGTATTAACAGAGGCACGACTAGGGGTTGGTATGGAAGAACGGGAGGAGCCAGGACTCATAAGGAGGGAATGTGACTGTCGAGTCTAAATTGTACGAAGAGCAGCGGAATGGACTACATCAGTAGAAGAAGAAACTAATGATGACAGGGTACCACATGGCGAAACTAATAAAAAACCCAATGTCATGGGATAAAGAACAACACACGAAGTGCTAGAGACGATTGCGCTGGACAACCAATGCATCCCGAAGCAGAGAGCGACCACCAAACCGAATTCTGTCAACTGCGGAAAGACTTATGGAGCCATCCTATAAGCCCGTAAAGGTGATAAAACGCAATCCAAGTGCATAAAAACGTAACCTTTGTATGAATCAAAACGGAAAGCCCATTTGTAAGGCAAACACACGTAACCCTTATAACAAACTGTAACTGTTGTGCCAGACAAACAGTCCTTATTGCTAACCATAACCACGAACCCTAACTACTTAACATAACTGACAACTCTGACAACGAACTCCAGCCCATGGTTATAACTACTAACACCAACGATTAACCTTACCTAAAAAACCTACCTACTAGTTCTAATAACTAAGCCAACCACCTGACTATAACTACTAGTCCTAGCCACTAACTCTAGCTGTTAACTCCAGCTACTAATTTTAACAGCTCACCCTAACTACTAGTCCCAGCTATTAATCCTAACAACTAACCCTAGCCACCAACCCCTGCTACTAATCATAACAGCTAACCCTAACTGCCAATCCTAATTTTGAGCCATAACTCGATACCGCAGCTGATAACCCTTACAGCTAACCCTGACTGTTAACCCCGAATACTAGCTCTAGCTGCTAACCCTAAAAACTAGCTCTAACTACTAACTGCAACGACTAAACCTGGCCCATGATCCCAAATGAATAACCCTTATTGCTAACCCTACGAGCCAGCCCTTACTACTAATCCCAAGTATTAATTTTAACAACTAACACTACGGGCTAATCTTAACGGATAATCCCACATACTAGTTCTAATAACAAACCTTAACAGCTTGCCTTGACTAATAATCTTACCTAATACAGTAGATGTGCTAACTCATGAAATGTCAACCAACATTTCGAAATCCGTTCTCGTTTTGAAAAGATAAATTAAGTAGTGTTGTAAAACTAATCATGCTGCAGCATAAATCTATAATGATCCAGTTACCTCAGGAAATCGGCTTTCAAAAGGACTTATTTTCGGTTGCATGCAAGATCTATACTCTGCAAAAAATGACTACTTAAGAAGCATGCAATTTTTTTATTTATTTTCGATGCCCTAGAAAATTCAATTATATTTCATGGAAAACATGCATAAAAATGTTCATTTTTTACTTATTCGGTAGAAAATCACGTCTTCTTCCAATTTCATATTTAAAAAAAAGTATAATTCGGTTTTAAAAAACTTTTCTTATTCCCCAATAATTTTGAACCCGACCTGCTGTTACACTTGCATTCAGGGTTTCAAAACTACAAGCTGTATATTCTCCGTGTAAGGAAATCCATGCATTTCTCTACAGTGTTTAGAGGAGACCATATGAGGTTCATAAAATCAAGCAGCGGATTTGGGCAGTATTGTTAACTTTACAAGCCACATTCGTAAATGCAGATACATGACGTTTCATGAACGGCCATTTAACGGTATTAAAAATCTCACACTTAGAAACTTTTTAAAAACCGAATTATACTCTTCTTTTGAATATGAAGTTGGAAGAAGACGTGATTTTATACCGAATAAGTAAGAGAATAAATATTTTTTATGCATTTTTTTCATGAAATATGATTGAATTTTCAAGGGCATCGAAAATAAATAAAAAAATTGCATGCTTCTTAAGTAGTCATTTTTTGCAGAGTATAGATCGTGCATGCAGCCGAAAATAAGTCCTTTCGAAAGCCGACACCCTGAGGTAACTGGATCATTATAGATTTACGCTGCATTGTGATTAGTTTTACAACACTACTTAATTTATCTTTTCGAAACGAGAACGCATTTCGAAATTTTGGTTGGCATTTCATGAGTTAGCACATCTACTGTAGGCCGAGAAACAGCAGCTAATAACCAACCCTACCCGAACAACCATAACTTCTGATCCTAACCACTAATTCTAACTACTAACTATAACTACTGGACCTAACTACTGACCCCCAACTATGAATCTTAACATATATCCCTAACTACAAATCTAAGCTACTAGCCCTACGGACTAACTCTTAATACGAACCCTAACAACTAACCACGGACGACGGAACCTACTGGCATTGCTGACAAAATCGCAACTTCCGCGTATATCAGAAACCGGAAGTTTTCACAAACACTAACAGGCCTGCCAAAAACGGTCTCAGTAGTAATGCTCTAAGCTAAGAACCAAGTGCGACCGCGTTTCCGATCTTTACTTAATTAGCGAAAAAGCGGACAAGTTTTCCGTTAATTGATTTTTGGTGCATGTCATGTAGTTGTCTTTTTCGTTTAGTATGCAATTTATAAATGGTACGCATATCACGGGTTTCGGGAAAAAAGCATCTATGGTAATGCGTCTAAAATTAAAAGGAAACAACGAAAAATGACATATAAATAGGTTAAACACTTTTATTTTGCCGGTTACAGAATGAGAAAGTGCCACTTTCTGTCACAATTTACGTTAAAAGATGTAAACATGGGCATTCACGCGCAAAATGACATAGCAAAACACTGTTTAAGGATAAATCCATTGGAATTACGTCTTTTGGGCAAGGGCGCATGTCCCTTTCTGGCATTGGGAAGTATTCGCGATCTTAGGCATTTTCATCAATTTCGCTGCCTTGTGTACTCTCGGGTCAGATGCCGATATGGCTTTGGCGAATAAAGAAGGATCTGAATCTTCAAAAGGCTTTGAAAAAGAAAGTGACAAATTCATTCCAAATGTTGATTTCTATAGTGTCCTTTACTGTAGCAAGACTGAAGCGGCTCCGGAAAACGAATCGACATAGGTTGTTCTGCGTTTCACTGTCCACTGCCAGGATGAAATATCTTCACCGGTGGCCAGTTCTTCAATGTTGCGAGACAGATAACCTGCGTTAAAAATACATGCTTCATGATTTGGCAACAGCGCAAATAAGCAATAATTTGGTAAAACGAAAATACAAAAAACTGTTGTCAACTAGTAAATAGAAGCCCTATGAAAGGACAAAAGGACGGTTTCAGTTTGTCAGCCCTCCTTAGGCGACAATATGATCTAGATGTTGGTTTTAGAACAAAGAGTCCGGTGGCGAAGTATTCTCAACTTGGTAAGACAGTCTATCAACCTGGATGAGGAAGATTGAAGTGGTCATTTCCGTCACCATCAAGCAGTCGTACCCAACGTCCTCCTAATGAGCACAGAAACTCCCTCCCCCAGAACTTGCAGACTGACGAGAGACAAAAAGCTGTAGTCTGTTGGCCTTCCAGTACAGTCTCTTAATTCAATTAATCAAAATTTGGTAGGTGCACCACTTACGAATTAATGCTTCTGCTCATTTAATTAAACCGCACGCATATATTATTTTCATGCACGTGGCTTACTTCAACCGTCGCCGTACGACGACCAATTCGACCTGAGGTCCACGCTATAGTTAATCTGCCTAACTATGTATCAAGTGGAGAAACCGAGGTTACTTCTATGAATGTGATTCTGTGAGTAGAGTGATTAAATTACTTCAATTTATATTCTGTTAAACGTTGACTTATCACCGCCAACCTTTGAGATAATTCAACAGAAAATAAGCAGAGTCTATATAGTATCTGATCTATAGCATTAAATGTTAATCAGAATTCCAAAATAAGTGTCCCCTTTTAAAGAATTACTCAGGTTAAGTTTTAATTTTCATTATAATACAAGATATTTTTTTAGTATTTCAGTGACGCCGAGACAACCTCTCTTGAATGAGCTTGTTTCCGAAAAAACAGAACTGTTTAAAAAGTGATTACTTATGTAGGGTGAATTTTTCCCCTTAAATTTCGAGCAGTAAAACCAACTGGAAGTTCCGCAAATATTTCCATGTTACAATTGAAAAGTCAAGTTGGCGAACACGCGTTTCCAGTAATTCTTCCTCAGGCCAATACAATTACATGAAGGAATGAAAATGTACAAAATCAACAGTGTTTATAGATGCCTCATGGTCTATTAAGTCACTAACACTCATCATCCCCACGCCGCCCGCATGAGAAGGTCGTATCGATCGAACCAACGAGTCGATGCCAAGAAAGCATTTCAGGTTGTCTGCCGGACACCAACATGCTTCTCTAAAGGCCTACGCCAACAGATACTAGCAACGGCCGAGGCAGTAGCTATACGGTTAGCGAATCCGATGTTATGCTGTCAGAAAACTCTGACACAAGCGTTTTCGCTGCCGTGGCCAACGCCGACCCCCAAGTGATGAAGCCATGCCGCCTCAAATCCCTAATCACGATGATGGGTGCTCCCTGTACTCAACCCAAGAACATCACTCAAAGACTGTCTTACCCCCCTCCCCTAGCTCTGACGACTAACACCCACCGACCTTCTCATGCGGGCGGTGTGGGGATGATGAGTGTTAGTGACTTAATAGCCCTTGAGGCATCTATAAACACTGTGGATTTTGTACCTTTTCATTCCTTCATGCAATTGTATTGGCCTGAGGAAGAATTACCGAAAACGCGTGTTCGCTGACTTGACTTTTCAACTGGAATTTGTGCCTTCAGACTCAAGCTGTAGAAAGACCTAGTTTGTGTAATAAATATTTCTGCAGACGATTTAACAACTGAAAGAAACGCGGCTTTCTTAATTATATGCGGAAGCACTTCGTCAGCCGTCAGTGTTAATAATACTTTTGCGTTTGAAGAATTTAATAACTAACTGCGAAAATCAATTTCACATCAGATATTATTTTTCTATATGAATGATAATAATTGTTAGAAAAAGACCACTAACGCCAAGACGGCACTTCCTGATATATTTCTTTACAAAAATATGGCCTTCAGGTATTTTTTGGCAATGGTGTCTTGTATATGACTGCATAGCTAAGGATTTTAGTCTACGTTTTACCAAGACTAGCCCCTATCGTCCGTACAATGAAAACTAGGCTGAAAAACTTTCAGGATAACCTAGGTCACAGCAACTAGCGCTGATTTGAAATTGTTTAAAAAGTTCAGTGTGAGTATGAGCAGATGACTTTGACCGAACTGATGTAAGCGCGCAAGCCATTTTCCGTTGCAATCACGAGTGGTTCATGGTCTAGTGTGCTTTAAGGAATTTCGTTTCCCACCTAGGGACCAATCAGTAAACGCGTAATGTAGGGAAAGAATTCCTATCAAACGGGAATATGTTAGATTCTTGAAAAATGGGAAATTACTACTGACCCAAACCCTTAAGACGCGCGACAAACATCAGCAAACGGTCAGCAAAACACTTGCCCAGACATTTAACCAGTCGGCGTATCGAAACTTTAGCTCATTAATTTTCTGCTTGCATTGCACAATATGCCCGGCTTTGCTGGTATAGACCAGTCACAGCTAGTTCGCTGAAACTGGTAGTATTTATCTCGAAATTCTGCATAAATTCGTGAGCAGACTTTATACTTACTGGTAGAACACCATTCCCGACAAAGCCAAGGGAGACTGGAATGACTATTTCTGCCGGGCCCGCTGTCCTGTCGGTTGCGATCGGGACAACGGGAAGAGTGAGTTCCGTAAAAACTATCAGTGAGCATCCCCTGCCATTGTATATTCCCGATCGCAACCGACAGGACAACGAGCCCGTAGCTCAGTGGTTAGAGGGGTTGTGCTTCTAACCAATAGGTCACGGGATCAAGCCCCAGGTATTCCACACTTCGGGGTTGGGTACGACTGGTTGATGACGGCTAATAAGCCAGAAATGGCCATTCCAGTCTCCCTTGTCTTTGTCGGTAATACTATTTTGCTTATACTATGCGCCGCTGTGTGGCTGCTGGTTCGGCTCGAGAGAGAGTCCTAAGGCAAAAAGGAACGAGTGGGTTCCGTTAAAACCATCGGTGAGCGTCGCCTTGTGATTACGACTTACTATTTCAGCAAACGTGCTATACTTTCGTCTGATTTCGTCCAATCTTACTACCTATCGGTACAGGAGAGCCACTAACTTGATCCGTAAAAGCCCTATATTAGAAACCTTGTAATTCGAAACATTATTCGGCTGAACTTTAGTGTTACCACTCTGAGGGGATCGGATGCTTCATAAACATGACTAAAGTTAGATCAAAACATCCTGACCCTACCCCGACCACTTCATCATTTTTATTATTTAAAAACAAAAAATGCCCTTTTCAAAGCACGCGTAGTAGATGTACCCTCTTTCATTAAACCTGTCCATATAAATTAATTACGCCGCCCGTGCCCAATTTGAAAATCTAGGTTTGACGGACAATCATAAAGTTATACGTAGAAACGTGACGCGCGTGAAGGACAAAAATAAAGAAATACTCACCTCCAACTGCAAACAGGCGATTATTACAGACGAGCAAAGCTGAACATGAACTCAAAGTGGACATGGGAGTGACCAGAGTCCACTGTCCTAGAGGATGGTCCACGTCCGGCAGGAAGAACACCTCCACAGTGTTTCCTCCCGGTCGGCCACCTGCGGCGATCACCTGTCCCTTAAAATAGGCCATAGCGAGATCTGTTCGGGCGTGGGTCATTGGGGCGGCCGGTTGCCAGAACTCACTGCTGGTGTCCATCTGCCAGCCGGACTGCAAGTTGCAGAACTCCACACCGGCCTGGTAGCCTGCGCATCGCGTATCATAGCCGCCCGCCACGAAAACCCGACCGTCGGGCAGGGCCACCGCCGCGCCGGCCATTCTGGACGCCTGCATTGACGGCAGCCGGCACATTCTATATTTGCAGCAAGTCAGTGGAGCTCAGCACTTGCTACAGGAAGCAGCGAATGCTTCAGTTGAATCGTCTGTAAAAATAGCCGTTCACACAGAACAGATCTTTCTATACCTCTGGTCTGAAGGCATGCTTTTAAATGACACAACTCCGGCCAATCCTAATGCTCGAAAATGGCCATAAAAATATATACCGTAAGTGACCGATGTCATGAAATGTTGGCTGAAATTCTAAAATGCGTTTTCGATTAGGAAGGACTACTTGGTCGCGGTTTTAATACTGATTAGCTTGTGGCATACTCTTATAACATTTCGGACTCGGCAGGATGTCGGCTTTTAAATCCACTTCTTTTCAATTTACTATAGAAAGCGTACTTGGTAAAAAATGACTACTTAAGTAGCATGCATTTTTCCCATTGATTTTCGATGGTCTTGGAAATTCAAATATATTTTATAGAAACCCCAAACAAAAATATGCTTTCTTTTAGCCAATCAATAGAAAATCACGTCTTCTTTATATTTTATACTTAAGGAAGGAGTATAATTGGGTTTTAAAAAGGTTTTCTGATTGTCGAATAATTTGGCGCCTGATCATTCGTTGCATTAGCGCTTAGTGATTTCACTCTACAAGGTGCATTCGTTCCACGTAAAGAAAATCCCATATTTTTCTATGCCATTAAAGCCATATCATACAGAGTCCATAAAATTTTGCAATGGATGCGGACCATGTTGTACATTCCATGAGGAGCAGTGGTAAACGGACAGGTACGATGCTATGTGAATGGATATATCGCGGTCTTAAAAAGTCTCATAATTAGAAAACTTTTTTAAAACCTAATTATACTCTTTCCATAAGGATAAAATATCACGAAGACGTGATTCTCAATTGATTGACTAAAAGACAGCATATTTTTGTTTGCGGTTTCTCTAAAATATATTTGAATTTGCAAGACCACCGAAAATCAATGGGAAAAATGCCTGCTACATAAGTAGTCATTTTTTACTGAGCACGCTCTCTACAGGAGATTGAAAAGAAGTGCATTTAAAAGCCGACATCCTGCCGAGCCCGAAATGTTATAAGAGTATGTCACAAGATAATCAGTATTACAACCGCGACCAAGTAATCCTTCCTAATCGAAAACGCATTTTAGAATTTCAGCCAACATTTCATGAGATAGGTCACTCACTGTATATCAATGCATTAGCAGCCAGTGGCAGCCTCATGTACCCACTTCCCTCTTGTGTTGTCTTGTGACCGCACAGTCTGGCCACGTTTGACATCGCTTATAAGTAGCATGGCAGCATGAGCGCGGGCGGTCTGACCTCCCTTTTACGGGTGTTTGCGCATTAAATGCTGCGCAGTGTAGACAGAGAAGTCCTCTGAAAGACATACGTTGACCTCAGTAAATGCGTGTAACCACAAGAGGTACTCGTTTTTCTCCACGGAAATTATCTACAACAGTTTATTGCGGACAACCATACTAATCAGCAAGTGAGTGCACATTCAAAAGGGTTAGAAAAGGCAGCTGCCATCACGAATAAGCTACGTAATAATTTTGGATAAGTAATCATTCCAGTGTGCCTTTGAACGCAGCCACCGTTCCCCTAGAGGAGATTTGGAAATTCCCTGCCTTTTATGGTTAATCATTCGGCAGACAGCTTATCCCCCTTTGAAATTAACTGCATTTCCTGAGAGTAAACCAAATTACGCAACTACCACAGTGGGTGTTTTAGACTTCCGATTATACTGTACACATGTCCTGGTAGTGTGAAGTTAGCCGACAGTCAACATTTCTCAATTGGAATCCAACCGGATACTATCAACTCGTGTCTAATTTCCGTTTTTAACTTCTGTAAAGGTAGCACCAGCAGTCGGTTCATGGCTGACTGTAGATCCTTGGCTCTGATTTGCTACTATTTCGCCTACTTGGATTCAATCTCAATTATCCACGTTGCAGAGAAGCGGGATGCACAATAAGGGGCACCTCAGCATGTTTGCTAATGCAGCATAAGTCCACCAATAGGAGTTGACATGTAGATACTGACTGCAGATGACTAATTGTTGTGTGTTGTGTGTATGGGGGGCCAGGTCGTGCCGTGGCGCGCGCAGTCATGGTCAGTCGACCATGACAGCCACCGCGCCCATTCCCCACTCCAGTCTGCTGACCGGCTCGGACAGCGGCTGGGGTGTGGGAGTGGGAAGGGAGAGTGAGGTCGACGACTCAGCGCACTTTCTCCTCACTATAAACAATCTGACGCGCTTAAAGCTATCACGGTGTGCTAAAAGCCGTGGCTTGGAAGGTTGCCAACTGACGGGGTACCTTGGACCTCCTCCTTAACGGGAGGCCGTCTGAGAGTCAGGCTGCAATGGCTCCTTTTTAATGTGGCCTTTATGGCACTCCCATCACAGTGTGGGATCCGAGCCAGGCGTTGGCGGCACGCCTAGGTGCGGCTTCGGCCGTGCCAGCCTCCAAATCTCTCTTGTGTTGGTTGAAATCCTGGTTATTTGTTGTGTGGACGAGGGGGTGTGGTGGAACGCCAAGGTGAGGATCCGTCCGAGCCATACACCTGCGGCCTCCCTCGTCTCCGGTCTTCTTGACTCTGTCTTGACACCGGGCCCAGGCGGGGGAGGAGGAGAGAGTGTAGGTAGATGCTACGCAAGTCTACCGGCACTATAAACCCCTGCGTAAGTCACCGTCTCTGCTCCCATTGCTCCTGAAACTGTGGGGCACACGGTGGACATCATCGAAACCGATGGTCGAACTGTCAATTGGTTAGAAATTACTTCCTATTGTTCCAAACCTCTGTCGCGACTGCATGGCTGGTACCCAGATCCACAACTCTAAGGCCAAGTGGAGATATTCACGTCCCATAAACAATCAGGGCAGGTTGGTAAACATCACTGTATTCTGCCCTAACCATCTGCGTTTTATGAATGACCACAATGTTTATTACCGAAGAAAAAGAATGCTGCTTTTAACCCTTTGGTCCGAAAGAGGTGAATTCTCATGATCCGGTAACACTGTAACGGAGGACTTACCTCGCCTTCCCATGATTTACAAAACAATCACCGCAATGTCATAAACCACAGTAAAATTCCAGGGAATACACCGTTGAAATAAAAATCATGCAGCTGAATCAAACAAGAACAGGTCAGAAAAATGCATCTAGGCATTTATCGGGTTATCTGTGCTACGGACATGACTGCATTAGAGATATCTATCCAAAAGACTAGTGCAAACCCAACGATCTCAATGACGAGGATACCGAAGAAAGGACCCAAATCTCACCGGTTTTGGCGCGGAATAAAGAGCTCCACGATTTCTGTTGAATCTCCATTCCTCTTTTGGCCCCCACAAATAATTATTCCGTTCTCCTTCTGGGTCCCCTCGCCCAAAAAGTTGATCTCGACGCCACAAGTAGCAATACTGCAGCGGGGATATGCCAGGGGTGAACACGGAGTCCAACGACGGGTTCGAACGTTAAATTTGTTAACTTGGTCGGTCTCGTAGCCTTGCTCGTTCCAAAGCCGTCCCCCAATGACGTACACGTTGTCTGAAGCAAACAGAGAGCGCCGGACTACATATCGGCAATCTTGTTAAAAGTAATACAACATGAGGAGTAAATTGGAGATTAGAAAACAGCTAATCAACAGAGTACCGGAAATGCAAGACTTTATTTGAAGGAATATGGATAAAATTCAGGTTTGAGAGAGGATCGTGGTAGAAAAAAACACATTAAACGGGCGTCTGATAGCTAAGAAGAAAGTTGTCGCTGATGGCCATGCCGAGACATGATCCTAGCCCTTCCCAGAAGTTGGTGAGCACTCTTACTTTGACAGGATGACAAATAACCTGACACATGCAGTTGTTGAGTGGCCACAGACCACCAGTGTGCAGCGGAATGGGATGATGAAATGGAACGCGACTACTAAAAGGGGTAGAGGTACTCGACTGTCTTCCTTTGGAAAAGGTGGCGGGGAACAGTACCGAAGGTAGATGTGTACGCGCAAAAAAACCCTGTCTAGAGGATTGACAATGTAATGGACCACGTGAACAACGGCATCTAGGTCACTGTGCTCCATACTATAGTCAGACTGTGGGAGGTCCGGGAATATGGAGGTCAATGAGCAGAATAGCATTGACGATGAAAACAAGAGAGACTGGAACGGCCATTTCTGGCACATTAGCCATCGTCAGCCAGCCGCAGCCGACCCCGATGTGTGCAACACCTGGGACTCAATCCCGCGACCTGATGGTTAGAAGTCTAACACCTCTCACCACTGAGCCACGGGCTCTTTTTCCTGTCGGTTTCGACCGGGCATACGGAATGGTAAAGGGGCGCTCCATAATCGCCAGTGGCCGTTCCAGTCTCGCGTGTCCTTGTTGGTAATGCCATTCTGCCTAAATTACGCGCCACTGTACGACTGCTGACGGGCTAGAGAGAGAGAGAGAGAGTCCGAAGGCACAAGGAGAGTAGCGAGTTCCGAAGCGCGATCGCTGAGCACCCCTCTACCAGTTCAATAGTCTTCAGTAAAGTGAATAAACAACAACCCGAAGGAAGGATCTAAGATGAAATTATGAAGACTCAAGGAGGCTACATTAGATATTAAAAGCACCTTTCTTTGATGATGTGCTGAAATGAGAATGCAAGATGTCAGGACAACATATTTTGTTTCAGCAATCGCTTCTTCTTCTTCTTCTTCTTCTTCTTCTTCTTCTTCTTCTTCTTCTTCTTCTTCTTCTCCGTCATGTTCAAATATGATAAATTGGAAATGGTGCTAGCCGAGAAAACCGTAACTCAAGGCATAGTGTTGAGACGGTGTCCGAGTCATCAATTGGTAAACCACGGGCACTTCCAAGAAGCTGCTCAAATACAGTCACTCACATAGGACAGAAAACACTTAGTAATGGCAAGGCGCCGTCTGAGGAATGGATAGACTCAGTGGTAGTGAACATGAAACTGAAAGTAATAAATTTTAATTTGTCGTCAGCTTCTGCCAGTGCGGTTCATCGGTTATTGAGATATTTTGATTTTTTTAAAAACTGGCTGGAAGGCGGAGAAAAGGAGATGTGGAGGAGGCGGACAAAACAGACTAACAGTCAGGTCGCCCAGTCAGACAGTCTTCTTCTTTGTTAGGATGCCAACTACTTTCAGCAGATAATATAAGCCTAATTTATAAAATACTTACTGCCGAGGCCTATGAAGCATGGAATGAGGGAGATAAAATTGGCAAAGTCCACTTACAGCAGCTACAGCCAGATTAGCAGAACATGATGGGGCAGTCGCCTACTTAGTTGGGATGTGGACTTCCTTTTGGTGGTTATGTTAAGAATAATAGCCGCTGCACTGATTATGGAACCTGAAATTTGAGAAATATTTATTCTGTTTGATGCGACCCCCTCCCACCGCAAAGACAATACGGGATAACTTTGGATGCAGTAATCATTCCAAGATGTTCTTTCAATGTATCCACGTTCCCTTGGAAACTTTACTATCTAGGTAATGTATTTAGTACAATTGGCATGACACTTAACTCCCTATCTGCCGTTTGTTGACCTTAACAGACTCTTTTGAGGACAAGCCACACTCTAGAGATAACACATTGGACGATTTGGACATCAGATAAGACTGCATTCGTGGGTCGGAGGCCAGGCAGCGCATAGGGTAAGCGAATGTGATGAGTCGCTTAACAGATGTGCCGAACTAACACTCAGACTAACAGTCCGTTCATTGGCGCGAGACGGCCCCATGGTAGTGAAATTCATCGGGGTAAATGAAACCAGACTCGGGAACTAACATGCAGCTCAGGATAGATGAATAAACGGCAGTATATGCTGTCTTGTTTATATCCAAGAAGACAGACACTTTCTGAGAGGTTGGGAACAAACTCCAACGTGCAGTAGTTCGCTCCGCTCCCAATTACACCAGACGACAGCCGTGTGTGACGCCCCTCCTCCATTCAGTAGACAATGCAGTCAAATGTAACCAGTCGTAGCACAGCAGGCTGAGCAATCTCACTGACTGCAACACGAATCAGATAACATTGTGCGTTTCCGCATTGCATTTCGTTACAGCGACTTTTCACAGCAGTGACAGGGAGATTCTGGACTTGAGGCGTACACCTTCATCGACAGCTAAGTCCTAGGAACAAGGAGACTGACAGTGAATTTACAATGCATCCTATAGAAGGGTCAGCCTGAGAATCTGTCAGGTCACCAAATCGAATGAGCAGGACGAGAACTTGGGGAATGGGGGAGGGGAGGTGTCATAATGCGTGTCCGCGAGCGAGTTGTTTAGAATTCCAAAAAAGGTTGCGCCAAGTGGAACAAGGGGGCAGATATTGCGCTCTCAGGGTAAGGGCAGCCTCTGAGCAAATCAGCCCCTTTTAATGGACAAGTAAACTAGGATCGGAACTACCCCATCCAGCTTATCAGCAGTAAAAGGCGCTGACGAAAAAGTATTTGCACATCCCTCCTATGTTTTTTTCGACTGAAAAGTTAGTGCCATTGGAAAGTAGTGTTGTTGGACGACCCACAGATGCGCTGCCTTATAATAATGCCATGACGCTGGGGTAAAGGGTTACCCGATACGGACAGAACAATCGAATCGGAAGACGCTTATTTTGACTGTTCAATCGTTAAGTAGATACTCATTAAGGTGAATATATTTGCACTATATCCATGCTTCCTGGAAAACTCAAGTGGACACCGATCCACTTCTGAGCTATTAGCAGAAAAGTAGCCTAGCTAGAGTAAAAGAAGATAAAAAAAACCAGCTATTATCTTACCTCCCACTCCAACGCATGCGGCGAACACTCGCTCATCCATACGTCCCAGATCCTCACTGTTTGCAGTGTCGGGATCGTATCGTTCCACCTCATATAGTTGACCATTCACACCGCAACCGAATACAATAATGCTGTTGTGTCCGGTAAGAGCCATTTTCAGCAGCCCACCTGTCTCCCGCCTGGATCTTGTTGCTTTTAACTGAAAATCTACGTAACCTTGGAGTTAGCTTACTGACTCGGAGATACGACATTTATGTGATTGGACGAGGATTAGTGCGAAACTGCCAATCGGTTCCAAGCGTTACGTGCGCACCGCAGCATCCTGCACTGAACATCCTGCCGTAAAAGGAATGTGCGTATTTCATGTGCGGGCTTGGGGGGTTCGTGCACACCGAATAAACTTATGCATGCAGAAAAGCGCGAATAGATGTGTGTGTGTTGTGCCCCCCAAACAGGCCAGATGCGCTGGACCAACACGGGGGCCACATCGGATTCTGGCAGGCGCCATTTGTGGGCAATAGCAAAAGCGAACATCTAGGGGGTGTGCTGACAGCCCGTGTTGTCGGCAGTCGTCGCACAAACTGGGACCCCTGCCACGCCCTCCATTGTTTTGACGGTCAAAATACTGGTCATTTGCTGTGCTGACCAGGGGGTGCGGAGTGAAGCGCCAAGGCGAGGATCCGTCCGTGCCATCCACCTGCTGCCTCCCTCGTCTCCGGTCTTCTTGACTCTGTCTTGACACCCGGCCCAGGCGGGGGAGGAGGAGAGAGCGTAGGTAGATGCAGCGCAAGTCTACCCGCACTATAAACCCCTGCGCAAGTCACCGTCCCTGCTCCCACCTGCTGTGGGACACACGGTGGACATAGTCGAAATCGACGGTCGAACTGTCGTGTGTGTGTGTGTGTGTGTGTGTGTGTGTGTGTGTGTGTGTGTGTGTGTGTGTGTGTGTGTGTGTGTGTGTAGGAGGGAGGTGGCTGCTAGTATCACTGCCGGTATTATTGCTATTTAGCGAGCATAACACCGTTTCAAATGAGAAGATCTCGTTGAAGGCGAGAGAAGTTTGTTAGGGAACGGAAATATCGGGTGGGAGAAAGGAGCGAGACACAAAGATGCTAAAGAGGACGAAAAGTCAAACGCGTGCAGGCAGCCAGAAGATCCAACGGCACACCCCACGGTGAAACCGGAATTGAAGTTGTTGTCCAATCAGGCGTCCTCTTTCGCGACATCACCCGGAATTTGTTCCCCGATTTTTGCAATAATTTAAGATCGAATCTGGGAACAATAACTAAGATATAGCAATGGGCATGGTGAGTTTTCCATCACAGTACTTCGTCACAGCAGTATTCCGTGTACTTTTATTCGCAGCATTTGCACCCTTTCGCAGGGCTGGCCCAGAAGATCTCAGTATTATTTAAATACCCGTTTTCAGGCGAAATTGAACACAGGCTCTTGTCCTGACAATGCTTTTGTATGCGACGCAGACACTGACGGTTTACGAAGGCCAAGCACGAAGACATAACCATTTTCACCTCAACTGCCTCCGAATAATACTGAAGTTGACGTGGCAGGAGAGTATCACAAACACGAAAATCTTGAGAAGAACTCCCATTTGCAGTATCCACGGCAGACACAACTGCGATGGAGCGGCGGAGTCGTGAGAATGGACAACGAGCGCCTGCCTAAGAGGCTATTTTACGGCGACGTATCTGTAGGTGATCGCTCTCAGGGCGGACAAAAGCGTTGCTGCAAGAATACCTCGAAAAGCCCGTCCGAGCACTTGTAAACCAAACCCCCGACTAGGAGAAACCTCGCTCAAGAATCATGGACACAGCTCATCGCTATGAAGACTAGAGACGACCTATTTAAAGCCAACCGAATAGATTCTGTCAAGGCAAACATGGAGACTCCCACGCGACACAAGTGCCACGCACCCGTGACATCAGCACCCAACCATTGCCTGCGTATTCTCCACTAGAGTAGATTTAAAGTGCTTCCAAACCACCAAGAAATGTCAATCATCGTGACTTGGAGGTGACGGCATAAATCGGTACTCTCAGGACGGGGAGTCCAGCTGAAAGGGTCCCTTCTTAATGTGACCTTTATGGCACTTCATTCTGTCATTTCTGTAAAAACTTAGCTCCTTGTGCGCTGACCGAACATGCGTGGCAGGCATGGACGGGATGTTTGTGCTGTCAACAAGATAAGATTCCCAATCAAAAGTCAGGGAAGACGGTTTGAGTTGGGCAACCTTTACTGCCTGAGAAAGTGCGTACACAAGGACTCTGTAGGCAGTCGCCGCGAGCGCGCTCCAAGCAAGCTGTTGTCTGTGTCCGCCTTCGGGGTGTTGTGGCAGCGCGTGTGTGCGCCCTTCGTTGTCTCCACGTCGCCAGCCAATCAGAGTGGGGACAGCGTTGATTGGCTTCGAGCACTCACGCGGCCCAGCAGCGTATCGACATGGAGTGTGAGGCGGACAGGACGGCAGCATAACAAAGGCGGAGGGTGAGGAGACGCGAACTGCTACAGTGCTGTCAACGACTGCGGTCCATCTGACGCTGTCTCGACTCTGGACTCAGGAGGGTGGGGGAGGGGAGGATGCGACAACTGCTGCTCAAGTGTACTATCACTTTAGACTCATTCAAACGCTGCTCATTGTCTTTGCTCCCCCTGGTGTGAGGCTCATGGCGGACCCTAACGACGACTGAGCTGTCGTGTTTTTGTGAGCGTGTGTCTCCGAATAGAATACTGGAACTACGACCGATAGTGGATCTCGCCAGTCACCTGAGATGTCCGGGTGGCCCTAATCCGGCTTACAACCTCACAGCGGAAGGGACCAGAGGGGATGTCCAAAACCAGCGCTGATAATCACGCCGTATGCAGGCCAGCCATTTGCTCGTGGATGCAGCCAAAACACCATGCGAAATAACAATCGTCCTTACACCCTCCAACCAGAGTGACTTCACAGCTGGCCAGACTTGTAAGCTAATTTAATCGCCCGCGATTTGCCGCTCCTTCCGTCGTACACCTCTTTGACCCTGATTGGCTTAAAGTGAAATCGTCCTCTGAAACAAACTTCACATGCAGCAGGTTTGACATGCTAAGGCAAACTTAACTATAATGGAATGGCAACATTACAATGCGTGACCGATCTCATGAAATGTTGGCTGAAATTCTGAAATGCGTTTTCGATTAGGAAGGTCTACTTGGGCGCCGTTGTGATACTGATTATCTCAAGGCATAATCTTATAACATTTTAGACTCGGCAGGATGTCGGCTTTAAAATGCACTTCTTTTCAATCTCCTTTAGGAAGCGTGCTCGATAAAAAATGACTACTTAAGTAGCATGCATTTTTCCCATTGATTTTCGATGGTCTTGGAAATTCAAATATATTTTATAGAAACCCCAAACAAAAATATGCTTTCTTTTAGTCAATCAATAGAGAATCAGGTCTTTATATTTTATACTTAAGGAAGGAGTATAATTAGGTTTTAAAAAAGTTTTCTAATTGCCGAATAATTTGGAGCCTGATCATTCGTTGCATTAGCGCTTAGTGATTACAATCTACAAGGTGCATGTGTTCCGCGTAAAGAAAATCCCATATTTTTCTATGTCATTAAATAGATATTATACAGGGTCCATAAAATTTTGCAATGGATGCGGACCATGTTGTACATTTCGTGAGGAGCAGTGGTAAACGGCCAGGTACGATGCTATGTGAATGGACATTTCGCGGTCTTAAAAAGTCTCATAATTGGAAACTTTTTTAAAACCTAATTATTCTCCTTCCTTAAGTATAAAATATAAAGAAGACCTGATTCTCTATTGATTGACTAAAAGAAAGCATATTTTTGTTTGGGGTTTCTATAAAATATAATTGAATTTCCAAGACCATCGAAAATCAATGGGAAAAATCCATGCTACTTAAGTAGTCATTTTTTATCGAGCACGCTTTCTACAGGATATTAACAAGAAGTGCATTTTAAAGCCGGCATCCTGCCGAGTCTAAAATGTTATAAGAGTATGCCTTCAGATAATCAGTATCACAACGGCGCCCAAGTAATCCTTCCTAATCGAAAACGCATTTCAGAATTTCAGCCAACATTTCATGAGATCGGTCACGCACTGTACGTACGTGGGGTTGTTATACTGATTATCATGCAGTATAACCCTACAATATTTTGGACTCGTAAGGATGTCGACCTTTGAATGCACTTCTTTTTGACCTCTTGCAGAATCCGCACTCGGTGAAAAATGACTACTTGAATAGCATGCATTTTCCTATTGATTTTCGGTGTTCTTATAAATTCATGTATGTTTACGGAAAACATGTAAAAAAATATGCTTTCTTTAGTTCACTTAGTAGGAAATCACATTGTTTTCATATTTTATGCCCGAAGAAAGTGCATACCTTGGTTTTAAACATGTTTCTAATTATGGGAGATTTAAGACTGTGCGATGTCCAGGCAAGCAAGACGGCACATGTCCGTTTACTAATGCTCCTCATGACATGCACAACACAGTTCGTACCCAATGCAAAATTTCATGAGCTCTATTTGGTTCTTCTTGAAGCATAGAGTAATATATGATTTTCCCTTTCGCGGAAAGCATGCAGCTTGTAGGCTGAAATTGCTAAACGCTGAGCACTGGCAGATCAGGCGGTAAATTATTGGGGGACTGCGAAACTTTTTTGAAACCAAAATATGCACTTTCTTCGGGCATAAAATATGAAAAAAATGTGATTTCCTACCAAATGAGCAAAAGAAAGAAAAATTTTGTACATGTTTTCCAAAAAAATATTTTAATTTATAAGACCATCAAAAATCAAAGGAAAATGACATGCTACTTAATTAGTCATTTTTACCGATTGTGGCTTCTGCAGGAGGTCAAAAAGAAGTGCGTTCAAAAGCCGGCATTCTGATGAGTCCGGAATGTTATAGGGTTTTGCTGCATGATAATCAGTATAACAACACCACTTAAGTAATCCTTCCTAATCGGAAATGCATCCCAGAATTTCGGCCAACATTTCATAATATCGGTCACGCACTGTATGTGAATGACTGACTAGTGCCTGCCGAAGCAACTCTTCTATGAGGACGTAAGTACGAATGAATGTCTACATCAGGTGTCTCCATATTAACTGGAAGATCCCCTTAATG